ATATGTAACATTCCTGTCAGAGCAATATAACAGCCAGCCTTCTGCCCTAGGGCGGTGAATTCCAGCCTCCTTAGGAATTCTCACTTCAGCAGCAAACATTCACGCATGTCAACTTAGATCAGAGACCGGAAATGACACAGACCCTGTCCCCAAGGACTTCATAGTCTGATATGTGAACAAACAATTACAATTCATCTTTGGTGACCACATATGCCAAAGATGGGATGGCCCTACATGAAAGGGGGACACGGTCACGCAAGTCACCAGGACATTCACATTGCACACGTAGGGAAAACTACATTTTCCATCAAAGCACTAAGTGCATTACAGGTAACTCGTGGACCTGTCTTCCAACCAACTGTTATCCCACTGTCCAGGTGCGGACACCAAGGCACAGACAGGGCTAGAGCCAGGCTTTGCGCTCTCAAAAGTTTTCTTAACTAATGCCACCATAACCTGTAGGCACACACACAATTATATGATTGCTTCTTCCTGAAGAGGCGAGAAAGACTATAGAGTTCAACGAGGATGTGAGATTTGACCTGAGTTTTGAAGGACAAATAGGGTTTTCCCAAGCAGTCAAGGGAGATCCAGGGTCTTGGATAACGGTCTTTTTTGATGAGTAGATTCAAGGCTCTGGGGAGATGGATAGTAAATAAGCAGATGACATTTATGGATTGTTTACTACACGCCACAACATGTGGAGGACTTTAGCTCACTCAATGAATCCTTGCAGCAACACTGAGACAGCCACGGTGCTTTTCCTCATTGGGGAAATCAGAAGTCAGAGAGACCAACACAATAACAAATAAATTCTTTGGTTGGAAGGAAAAAAGACAGGAGTGAGCCTTCTCTTATACAGTGGTGGCTTCAAACTAGGTAAATGTTTCACATATTCAAAAAACGCTAAATTAGAAGGACAAATAACAGCAAACCCAAACATTGAACCAAGTAGAGATAAATGAATCTACTTCTATATCAAGTCCATAACATAAGTACAGAGGAAAAAAAATAAATTCAAATTTTTTTTCACTCAATATTCCATATATACTTAAGAGGGTACACTATAAATTTTTTTTAAATGGCAAAGAAATATTGAAATTTTTTCATAGCTATTATTGCTAGTGGCATCAGGATAATTATGAAGCTATTATGTGTGTATTGTATGAAAATAAATATTAGTAAGTATATGGATGTTGGGTATTGTGTTTCCATTGGACCATGAGTTCCAATATGAACTCATATATTTTTTAAAAGATTTTATTTATTTATTTTTAGAGAGGGGAAGGGAGGGAGAAAGAGAGGGAGAGAAACATTTATGTGTTGGTTGCATCTCATGCACCCATGACCAGGGACCTGGCCTGCCAACCCAGGCATGCGCCCTGTGCTGGGAATCAAACCAGCGGCCCTTTGGTTCACAGGCTGGCGCTCAATCCACTGATCCATATCAGTGGGGGGGGGGGGGGGGGTGTGTGTGTGTGTGTGTGTGTGTGTGTGTATTTTTTTTAATGTTTTTTCCTGCTCTGTCCACTGAGGGCCTTGAAGCAACAACATCCAGTAGCACCTAGATTTTAGTTCTAAATGCCATTTTCCACAATAGCATCCAGAGGGTCTGGGAAAGTGGCCAATTCCAAGCCCTAAGCAAAGAAAGGACATGATCTAGGAACATCTTGGGCCAGAAAGAAAGGAAGGGCCCCAAGACCAATCAAAAGGATGCAGGAATTGGCTTAAAAAAACTACTACTGGCCAAAAGCACACACTCACACACAGAAAAGATGGTAATAGACATTGAATTTATAAAAACCTGTCAGTCCACAGAGATACTGAGAGAAAGAGAAGGGAAGGTAGGGCTCTATTTTGCAGAAGGCTGCCAGGTAATAACTGTAAAAGAAATGACAGAATTAGAAAATGACTAATGGAATAACTTGGTTCAGGTAAGGATCATCAATAGACACTAAAACTAGGGGGGAAGGGATTCACACAGTCTCAAAGCAGCACATCGCAGATTACTGCTTACAAAGAGGAAAGTAACTGTAACACGGAGAGCTGGCATTCACCATGAACCAGGCGATTGACCTAGGGTCACCAAGCTGGCATCAGGTACCCTCTAACTGACGCAGTAAGAATGATATAACATCACTTTTGGTCACGTTATTGTAAAAAATGGGGAAGCAAATCAGAATGTGGGCCTTCTGTAGGACAACTGGCCTGGACTCTTTTAAAAGCCACTCACATGAAAAGTAATGATAAGGGGGCTATTCTAGGATTAAAGTAACAAAAATTCAATGTGTGAGAACCTTGACTGGATCTGGATTTTTATTTTAAGGAGAAGATTATTAAAGAGATTTTGAGAACAAGTAGTGAAAATTGAATATGATCTGTATTTTGGGTATTGCTGAATTATCATTAATTTTCTTGAGTTTGATGACAGTATTGTGGTTTTGAGGGAGAGTGATCTTAGGAGATACAGTGAAGTTTTAGGGGCAAAGTCAAGATATCTGCAACTTAGTTTCAAAGGGTTACACACACACACAGACTCAGTAAATGGAGCAAAATGTTAACTATTGGTAAAGCTATGTGAAGGATATATACAGGTGTTAATTGTAATTAATATTCTTTTAATTTTCCTGTAGGTTTTCAAGTTTTCAAAATAGAAGGTGAAACTTTTCAAAGTTCATTAGTTCATAAAATTGGAGACCCCCAAAGGGTCTTAAAAGAGCATCTAATTCAACTCCTTCTTTTACAAATGGAAACTGAGGTCTAGAGAGAGGAAGACACCTGTCTGAGGGCACATAGCTGGTTCCCAAGAGCTGGAGTTCCTGTTCACTGTTCTCCCTGCCACGCAGAGGGGGATGTGGGTGGCAGTGTGGTTGGGGAGATAGAGGGGCTTTGGGAAGGACGACTTGGTGGGGTCATGGCAAAAATGGGTTGCCCCTACGTGGGACACGTTGCGGGTCACAGCCACAGTCCAGACGGGAGGAGGTTCTGACATGAGACACAGGCAGGCCCAGGAGACTCAGGGTCCACCCCGCTCCACTCCTTTTTCTCTTTTAAAATTCTCTCCCTTATTTTCTTCCTCCAACCTACTGTACCTTTCTTTAAAAAAAAAAAAAGTATCTCTTTATTGCATTGTCAATGGGTCATTTTGCTTTCTCTCTACCACCAAGATGACATTACACAAATACGAATTTTGGAATTAGACCGACCTCCTTTCAAAACCTGGCCCTGCCCATTGGCTCTGCGACTTGGAGTAGTCACGTAACGCCAAGTTTTGGTTTCTTCATCTTCACAAAATTACTGCTTCCTACCTTGAAAGGATGTGGCAATGAGCCAACATGCTCATTTCAAAATTTTTATTGATTCCTTATCAAGTGCCGAGCAGTTGTGGACACTGGGGACAACAGCACTTACTTGAGGGCTGACTGCATTCTACGTATTCCATGTGAGGACTTGTGTAATTCCTCCCCACCTCACAGATGAGGAAACCGAGGCATGGGGGGGGGGGTCACTTTCTCACCCACAAAGCTAGTACAGCCTATTCCCAGAGCAAACACTGGTTATGCCACACACAGGGAGGAAAACATAGTCCATGTCTCGGTGGGGCTTTCATTCCAGAGGAACATGAAACCCAGAAAACTACTCAGAGAGTTTGCAAGAGACAAGTATTTGTTTCTTTCCTTCCCCCAAAGCCATGGCTGAAAAAGACAGTCATATGGATGAGGAAGAAAAGTGATCTGAGTCCTCTCCTTTTCCAAATCCTCCCCTCCCTTACTCTACAAATAAAGAAGGAAACCCACAGAAGCCAGCCCTTCTCTGACAGATGCTGTCACTCACCTTAATCCATAGGCCAGCGTTTCTCAAACTTGATCCTGCCCCCTGATCACGTGGAGAGCTTGTAAATGTGTGCTGAGCCTCTCCCCGAGTTCCCATGCAGTAGGTCCAGGGAGAGGCCTGAGAATTTGCACTTCCATCACGTTCCCCAGTGAGGCTGATGCCACAGCTCATGGACCACACCTTGAGAAACACTGTCACAGAACCACCCATGAAACAGGTATCATTCAAAGGTGAGGAACCTGAGCTTCAGGAAGGCCGGGTGCCTCACCGGAAGCTATTCTGCTAGTGAGTGCCAGCAGGATTTGAACCCTGATCTGACTCCAAAACCTGTGCTGTTTGCACTATACCTGAGCTGGAGGTGTAACACTAGGATTTCCCCCATTCCATGTCTGTTCAGTTTATTCTAGAATTTCCATTCTTGGAAGGCACAGTCGAGGCTATTTTCATTTCCAGAGAGAACAAACGATGGCTGGTGAAAGCTATTCTTAAATGCTCCCTCTGTTTACTACCCAATAATGCCTCTTCTAGAAATCTATACTAAAACAACTATGGAACATTTACACAATGGAATACTACTCGGATATAAAAAAAGAAAATTTTACCCTTTGTAACAGCATGTAAGGACCCGGAGAAGATTATGCTGCGTGAAATCAGTCAGTCAGAGGAAGACAAATTCCGTGACTTCACTCTACGTGAGATCCAATGAACAAACTCAACTAACACACAAAACAGAGAAAGACTCACAGATGGAGAGCCGATGACAGCTAGTGGGAGGTGGGGGGAGGGATCGAGCGAAAACGCAAAGGGACTCACAGGGATGGACAACAGCGTGGTGATTGCTGGGGCGGGGGAGGGTGGTGGTATAAGGGACTAAATGGTAATGGAAAAAAATAAATAAAAGTTAAATTTAAAAAAACAGAAATCTATACTAAGAGAATGACCAAAAATATAGCCCAAAACAGAAAGATGCTAAGTGTTTTAGCAAAAAACTAGGACTCTAAATTGTACTCCCAATATTAAGGGACTGGTTAATAAATTATGGTATATACAAATGATGAATATTGTGAAGCCATTAAACATGATTTATTTTGAGTTTTTACAGCATGTCAAAGTATTTATGATATAATATTAAATAAAACATAACACACAACTAAATTCAGTAAGTTCTCAATGTTATTAAAAACAATGAAAAAGGAAATAAACTAGTAAAACATTGACAACAATTGTCTCTGATTTTAATAATTTTTTGTACTTTCCACACTTTTACAATGAGTTTTTTAGTGAGAAAAACCAAGCACTTTCTTTTCTGTTGATTAACTACAACAGATATTTTCAAGGCCCATTGTATAAGTTAGTCAATTCCTAAACAGCCAGGAAAAGCTAAACTGTGATTTTTAAAGGTAATATTTAATTCCAAGTTACATTTTCCCTGACCTTCAGGGGGGGAAAAACAGGAAAAAACACAAGTGACAATCATTATTATACATATTCAGAAAGACTAGAAAGATAACTGTAAAAATGGTAACAGGGATTATTTTTGGTTGATAGAATTATAAGGCTTTTTAAATCTCTTTTTCACTTAATTTTTATAACACTTTCTACAATGAACATCTATTACTTTTGTAACAAAAAGTCTGTGCTATTTTTCTTTTTAAGGGACAATCAACGAGCAAATTACGGCATATCCATACAATGAAATATTCACAGCCACTTAAAAAATATTGTAGGAGTATTTAATAACATGAAAAAAAGTATGCTACACTGGCTGACCATACCATAAATAGTACGTTCAGAATGATCCCATTGTTCAACAACAAGATTTCTATGTCAACAAAGAAAGCACCCTGAAAGAAAAGTTGTTTAAAAATCCACAATAAACAAATTCTTTGTTAAACAGAAGAGACAGAAAAGGATTGAGCAGGAGTGCATCACTGAGAGGTCCTCCTTTAACAAGGCTTTCCAGCTCCCCAGGCCTCATCCGTAGCTGGTCTTCCAGCACCAACAGGGCGCTCAGGATGGATCCTTCCTCCTACTCTAGACTCAGTGCTTGAGGGACATATTGACTCCATCAGCAGAGACCACCCTTCTTGATGGGGCAAATGCACATCATCTGGAACCTTAAAGTAAGACCCCCAATAGCAAACAGGTTTCTGGAGGGAAAATTTTAACTGCGTTCTTGAACTATGAATCTGATTACAATTAAATATAACTTACAATCATTTGATGAAGGAAATGCACTATTTATGTTGCAAATAACACACTATCTATAGAATTATACTCCCGGACTGGCAGTGGCCTCTGAGATCATCTTTAGACAATTTCCAGGCACTGTCAATAGGATGTTATGTAAATATTGACTCGAAACAACAAGATGTCACGCTGGAGGATCTGAAGTAAACCGTTCAAAAGCTTGCCTTCCTGTTTATACAATTTTTAAGTCACTTTATTGCTAGTCACAAGGTGATTCGGCATTCTGATTGAATGTAAGAATTTCTTACTTTACGTATAATAAAAGGGACTACAAAGAACTGCTGCAAAGCCTGGAGACACAGGAAGGAATAAAAATAAACACAGAGACTATGTCTTCCAGCCCAAACAATGAGAAATCTATGCCAGTAGATTATCAGTTCAATCTATTTCCAAATCGCTGTCCTCACTGTGACATGTGGCAGAGTTACGCACAGACGTCAGCACCAAGACTTCCTTATCTGGGAGCAATCCAAATTCCTGTAGAAAAGCTTCAAGGTCCACAGCAAAGAAATCTTCACCCAGCTGGTCAGTGACTCGAACAAAATTACCAATCAGTTCGCCCCCCTTGTAGATGAGCAGGGCGGGAAGGGCATTCCTGGTGAACCGACTGCTGGCCCCGATAACGGAGCTCTTCACACGGCAGAATTTGACAGCTGGGTACTCGGCGGCAAGGCAGACCATGCAACCATGCATGGCGTCGGTCCCTGGGAGGCCGTCCTCGTAGATATGGACCATGATGAGGGTGCTTTTCTGTTCTTTATCAATCATGTCCAAAAACCCTTCCCCACTGGGGATCTCAAACACCTGCCTGAACTGCGGCCCCTTGTGAAGCTGCTGCCGCATCTCTTCCATTCTCTGCCGCCGGTACTGCTGCAGAAACTCTTCATCGTCTTGGTCCTCGTTCATCATGGCAAACTCCTTCAGGGCCATCTGAAGGAGGACCAGCAAGTGAGCATCAGAAACACACACTGAACACCTGTGGCAACAGTTAGTATGCATGCGTGCTCACGACACAGGCAGCACGTTGCTTGGCGCTCCGCATGCGTTACGTCTCACTGAATTCTTACGCTAACCCATCAGAAAGGGACCTTTATTACCCCCGCTTTACACACGAGGTTCCAAAACTTAAGATCATTTGTACAATATCATGCAGGTCACAAGTGTACTACGGCCAGGATTCAAACTAGATGATTTTAAAACCCAGGCTTTTAACTACTGTATCAATATTGCTTCTCAATCCAAACAGGCAGCGTTGGATAAGAGCACTTCACTAGCTTTTTCCTTGTTGTCGGTCTTGACAACGGATTAATTATTTTACCCGTGGGTTTATTCCTGCTGACTAGACAACAGGACATGAAGGAACTTCAAAAAGAACATTCATAATCCCTGCCTACCCTGTGCATCACACACATCACACACACAATACAGTCACATGCTAAAATGGCTGTTGCTTTGATAACAGCAGTTTACCCTAAGTTAAAACCTGCTTTTTTTTTTTTTAACCCCTTAGCATTATTATAGCCTAAACATTTCATGTTTCCAAATACTTTTTCTAAGATTAGACGTCATGTGCCACATGCTGCTTCACCACTCCCCTTGCTTCCTGCATCCAGGCTGCGTCCAGCCCTGTTCCCCGGCAGACGGCCCAGCAGGGCGCCTGCGGTCCCGTGGCGAGCTGCTTCCTCAGCGGGAGGAACCCCGTGAGCAGCGGGCACACGGCGCTGCAGCCAGTTTACGTTACAGCAGCGTCTTCCGTCTCCTGCCCTAGAGCAGCAAGCCAGCTGCCCCGTAACGAAGCCTGGATCCAGCTAGCCTGGCACAGATGACAGGGTGGAGGCCGAGGGACCACGAGCCCAGACCAGATGTCACTGCATCATAGCCGGCACCGCCCTGAATTCACTGTTACTTATCATTCCCAATTTTCGTCCCGCCTCAGAGCTCTCCACTCCACCTCAGCCCGCCACAGTGGCTCTTTCTGACCTCTCAGGGTCCTTGTTTCAGTCTAATGCCCTGAAATCATCTTTTGGGTCCAGGTAAATGGCTCTTCACTTCATCCTCCTATACGCTCCCTGGTCCAGCCTGGCACTTCCAGCCGAGAGCTGCTTCGGGCCATAGCCCAGTGATGTCAGGCACTCCTGAACGGCCAACCGTGGTCAGGGGGCATGGGATCAAATAGAGTCCTGATACTCAGAAGAGACAGTCAGTGACCTAGTTCCATGTATCTTTCAGTGTCTATTTCTTTCTATAGCATTGCCTCATTAGCATAAATTCTCATGAATAGGCTCTGGTGAACCAGCAACATCATGAAAATAACAGGAAAATCTGGCTTAGCATCCTAGTTCCTATTATGTTTTACTGGCTGTATGGCTCTGAGCAAGTCCCCTCCGTCTCTAAGCGTTGGTTTCACTCTCTCTAAAATGGAGATAATACCACCAACCTCAGGGGGTTATTTCTGGCCCAAGGTTACAGTTCAATAAAGGACAGGAAACTCACATTTACTGAGCACTTTCAATGGGCCAGGCACTGTGATGGGGACTGTACCCACATAGCCCTGTGAGCAGAGATACTGGCCTCACTTAATCCGAGAAAAGCCAGACTGAGAATGGAAGAGACGTCCCCACAGTCGTTAGTGGCCGAGCTGAGATTCAAACCCATGTGTCTGAGTTGTGACGTGACTCTATACTTCCTCCAACACTGCACAGCTTCTGGGAGGCCTCCTGAGTAGCCAGGGCAGCTTCTGAGAAAAACTTGCATGCTATGAATTACCTTCCCACTGATCTTTTCCTGGAGGTCCTTCTGTTTCTGTTGCTCCTCCTCCTCGTCCAGATGGGACCTGCAGGTCATTGAGAGCTTCTTGATCAGCCTTTCCATCTCCCGACACTGCTCCTCCCTTTGCTCTGTCTCCAACTGCTTGAAGCGGCGCCAGTCATTGATCACCCCCTTTGGACCTGGGTCAGGGGTGAACATGGAGATAACCAAGAAGAATGGGCAAGGAATTATGGACCAACTCACAATTGTCAAAAGCTCGTTCCATCAATTCCACAGTGACACTCACACAGGGCAGCATGGTCTACACACAGTGATGTCCACTGCAGCACGGTCTGCAATACTTAAAGGGCCAAACTAAGGGTCCAACGTTAGGAGATGCATTAAATAAATTATGATTCATCTACTCAAAGGAAAGCATAGGAACTCTTATTAAAAGAGGTGGCTGTTTCCTGCCATGAAAGATGTTCACATATATTAGGTTAAAAAAAATGCAGAGCAATATCAGGATATGATCCTCCAATTTTTAGAAAAAGAATTGTATGTGTATATTACATATTTATGGGTCTCTACATATGGTCATGTACATTTGTATGTTCATAGAAAAAGGCCTAGAGGGATGTGTAAACTGTTGACAGTGGTTGTCTGTAGGTAGCAGGATCTAAGGGCACTGGGGACAGAGAACTTTTACTTTTTTCTTTCTATACTTCTGTATGATCTGAATTTTTATAACATTATGGCAGCTTGTCCTGTTACTCAAGCTACCCCCATACCTCCTTGCGGTGTATGACTGGTAGTACCTCCTGTGGGATCAGTACATATATCCCCAGCCAGCTAATGTTGGGCTCGGCCGTGTGACTTTCTTTGATCAATGGATTCTGACCAAAAGCTTTATGAGCCATTACATGCCTCCAACAGCCCTCTCTTGCTCCTTGCGCTTGGGCATGAAAACGGCATGTTTTTGAGCTCGTTACTAGAAATGAGAAGACACGTGAAGTGAAAGCAGAGCTGCTGCTGCTCCACACAGGAGGCATGTAACATGGCTGAGAAATAAACCTTTGTTACCACAAGCCACTGAGATGTGCAGGTCTTTTGTTATCACAGGAAAAAATAAGAAGAATCTACGTGCCATCAAGCTGTACACCCGAAACCAATACATCATCATCATCATCATTATCATAAAAAGAATCTATGTGAAGAAAATGCTACCAAGAAACATTAATACTTGAACAGATGGAAAGGCAATACCATCTGCTGACTAGGAAGACCCAACATCACGTAAGGTTGTCCATTATCCCTAAATTAATCTATATATTTAATTCATTCCCCATGAAAATATGTGATTACACATGTGTGCATGCTCCTAAAATTTCTTTGGAAAAAGAAGAAAGCACAAGTTAGGACAATAATAACATAGGAGAGTACGGAGGAGGGAGCAACCCTATCAGACACTAAAACATGTTATAACATAATAATTAAATACAGTGTGATATACAGCACAGTAAAAGACAAATTAATGGGTGAAAAAATTTAAGTGTAAATAAAATAAAATCATAAGAACACTAAGAAAAAGGATGGAGTGAAGAAATGTTTTAAGTAAGAAACAAAATTAAGAACTATAAAATAATGCTTGTTAGTACATAAAAACACACAATTCTTACCAGGAAAAGAACATAAAAGTCAAAAGACAAACAACAAATTGGTAGAAATATTTACAACTCATACCACAGATTAATTTCCTTAATATATAGCTCCCTAAGAAAAAGACCAACCACTCAACTTAAAAATGAGCAAAGAAATATGACAGTATCTCTAAAGTTATGAAAAAGAGGCTCAATGTCGCTCTTAAAAAGAGAGAAAATAAAACTACGAGTTACCATTTGTCATCCATTGGATGGCAAAGATGAGAAAGTGTGAGCACACAGTAAGAAGGCAAACATTGGAGAAATACCATGCTGCTGCTTAAACTATAAAACAGTGCCCCCTTCACTTGACAGCGATCTGGAATTCCTAAAATGTAAATATGTCATTTCTAGACATTTATACTGCCAGTATACTCATACCTATGATTTATATGATATCAAACAACTACTAATTTGAGACACTTGATTCAAACCCAACCCAGTCTGAGTTCATTACTGTGCTGCTATGCATGCATATTTGTACTGTACGGAGACAGGGCCAGAAGCACACCCGGTGAAATGGCAACGCCAGGTTATCTCTAGAAGTGGGGCTGGAATTAAGAGAGACACGATCAGGAGACTTCCACCTGATACATATTTAATGGGCATTTCTAAACCCGTTCCCAGAGCTCAGGGATTTCCCGTACCTGTGTTCACTGAGATGCCTTCGCCTGCCAACTCAGCGTCTGCAGGCAGCGAACTGCCGGCCAGGGCACCCCTGCCTTCATCCTTGTCCTCACGGTCGCTGTCCTCGTCCTCACTGCTGCTGTAATAGTACTGCAGCTTCTCTCCCAGCAACTTATCATCCAGGGTCGTCATGGTGCCTGAAAGAGGGCAAGAAACCTCTTAGGCTCTTTGCCAGCTTCAACCAGACAGATTTGACTCTAAAGAGCAGGAGCTCACTTGTGCTGAGATACTACCATTCCGAGGACTCTAAAAGTGATCCTTTTTTCAGCAGCAGGATCTCAACAAATCCCTACCATGACCCTGTGTGATAGGGTCAATCATGCTCTTTCTGTAGGAGGTAAACTGAGGCTCAGATAAGGGAAGTTGCTTCTGAATAAGGGACACTAGTACTTACAAGTGTAGTGGCTTGGAAAAATCTACTTACTGATTGGAAGTTTTATTTGCACATACATTTAGGTTTTCTTAGCAATGAAAACTGCTAGGTAATTGAAATATTGGATAAGAACCCTCAGGAAAAACTCCAAAAAGAAGCATCAAGGGGATACTGCCGAGTCGCTAAATTAATCGCCCGTCTATTTGATGCCTTCGACCCAGGCCGCACACTCGAGGTTTGGATGGAGGGGGTGAGGCCCTACCAACTTTGGTTTAAAAAAAGGGCCCATGACAAGATTTTTCTACTTTCCAAGAATTTAAAGGACAACAGTTAAAGACCAATATTCTGCACCAGAAGCAGCTTGGGACTTTTTGAGAGAAAGGGACAGCTTAGCCCTCTAAAGCCCTACTAGCAGACCCAGCGGGGAGGGTGAAAACGGTAGCACCCACTCCTTCCACGAAGCGTAGCAATACTACGCTTCCTTCCTTGAAGACAACCCCGGGCCTGTTACACTGCGTTACACAGTGACTCTCCCACAGAGCAGGGAGCTCTAGAAAGCAGGGACGTCCACTGTCCAGCGCCAGGCCTCGGCAAGATTTGTAAGTCCAAATGGAGACAGCCAGGATCGGTGGGGGAATGTGGGGATCCCAGCAGTCAGACGGGAAGAGAGGGGTCAGGAGGCAGAGTTAATTAGAGAAATGAGCAGGTACTAAAACGGAGAGTAGAACCAAACAACCCAGAAGGTGCGGCAGGACGCAAGGGCGACCAGGCGGTGACGAGTTCGGCGAAAGCTGGGCCCGCCGCGGACCGGTTTCCGGAGGAGGCGGGTCGGCTGACGGGAGCGCCACAGGGGCGGGGCCGGCAAACGGGTTAGAGAAGAGGGCGGTGCCTGCAGAAGGTACGCAGAGGAGGCGGGGCCAGTGGAAGGGGCTCGCGGAGGGGCCCGAAGAAACTTCGTGGGAGCCCGAAGGAGGTGGGGCCAGCGGAGGAGGCGGGGCAGTGAAGTCGCGGAGCCCTCGGGTCGAAGGGACGCGCGGACAAAGCAGGGTCGCTCATCACCCCTGTTCCACCACATCCCACCCATTCCATGCCTGCTGCTTCTTCCTCCCTGACCCCAACGCAGTTACCCGGCCTACCTCGATCGGGATCCCTTCGGGCTGGCAGCTCCGGGTACTTGGGAAGAAAGAGTGCTCGGTTCGAGGAAGGGAAGTGGGTCAGTGGCTTGAGCACTATAAGAAAAGCCGCCGGAGTCCCGACTGCACGCACCAATGAGGCGGGCTTCCTGCGTAAAGGCAGACACTCGCGGCCCAATTAGAGGAAGCCGGCCGAGGGAGAAGCTATGGGTCCCACTTTGGGACAAAATACATCGGCAGAAGTTATACGCTCCCTGTTTGTTTAATTTCAACGAACAGCTGCATTATATATACCCAGCTTTGAACAGTAAGAGATATTTATTCGGTTACCTGTGAAGTTTCTGAAACTATTCTATATGTATCTTTTATTGTTCTTAATTACATGGCGGCTATTAGGACAGAATCAAAGATTAAGTTCTTTGCCCAAGAACACACAGCTCTTAGGTTAAATTTTTTTTTTAAAAAGCCAGGTCCATGAACTAAATGCAGTGAGAAATCCTAGGTTGCATCCAAAAAGAGGAAAAGGATGGGAATAGGACAACTCACAAATTTGAATAAGATTTATTTAATAAGGGTCTTGTATGAATAGTTTTGATAATTATACTAAGAGTTATGTAAGATGTTAACCTTTGGGGATTTGGCTTAGAGAGTACAGGGGATCTTTACACTATTTTTGCAACTCTTTCAAAACCTAAAATGGTTTTTGAGTTCTTACGGAGGCGTCCAATACACACCATGAAGTACCGTATTTTCTGGTGTAAATGCACATCCATGTTTTTGGCCCAAACTTGCAGGAAAAAAATCTTTCATTTAAATTATTTAATTCAATTATTTATTTATATTTAGAAACAAAACTGATTATCATATTCCAGAGTATTGTTTTGCATACGGATATCGCTATTGCTTTCTAGAGTTACACTTTTAATACATAAACCTAAGTAAAATTAAAAACATTTGTATGAATTGGGAATTAGTACTACCCATGTATAATGTGCGTCCTTATTTTTCCCTCAAAAATTTGATCAAAAGGTGAGCATTCTACACAGCAAAATACAGTAACTCATAGAAAACTTTATGTAACTTGATTCATTCAAAATATACTAAAATGAGATAAACTTTTTAATATAAGTTTCTTAATTAAAGAGATTCTTAATTTATGGGTTCTATGACCACCTGAAATTGTCTGCCAATTTGTCTATGTGCATATTTTTCTGAGAAGTTTTTTGTTCGGGCTATTAAGAGTGAACCCTCTCTTGTTCCCAAATTTAAGAACAATTCATCAAAAAGATCATATGGTGACTTTGTATTTTTGTTTGCACGAACTGCAGACTTGGAAATGCTTGTGATCTGCTTTAGGTGACAAGTCAGCACCCAGCAACAGTGCCTCTTCATGGGAGATTCCCTGTAAGTATTTATAAAATCAATACTAGATAAATGTTTTTGAAATTTATTTTTACTCACGGCTTCCTGAGTCAGGGGTCTTCTTCATCCATGGTGGTTTCTTGTCCTTCAAAATTAATTTCAATCCTGCCATCCTCATACTGCCCAGCAACCCTAACACCTGCTCCTCTCATACTCTCTAAGACAAGCAATTCACATCTCTTCTCCCAGATCTTCAACACTCCCTCCCCTCTCCGACCTTCCTTGATTCCTGTATTGCCTAAAAAATAGAAGCAATCAAAAGAGACTTGAACTTGAGCCCACACTCAAAATGTACCAGTAACCCCTGATCTGCACTTATTAAATGAATCACCAGTGCAGTGGATCACACCCCTCCAGCCTCGTAAAGTACTCTGTTCCTGCAATTACCTTCTCTCTCCCTCTCGCTCCCTCCCACCACTCCTGCCCTCTCTCTGTCCTCCCTGCATATTCAGGCTCGCTTTCTCTTTCTACAGCATACTAATATATTTTCCTAGTTCTCATCTCTACAAATATCCTCTCAAATGCCATTTCCCACTGTTCAGATTGTTAAAAATCAAAAAGTTTGATAACAGTTACACTGGGGAATATATTCCTGGTAAGAGTGAAAATTGATACAACTCTTACGGATGCCAATTGAGGAATATCTATCCATATTGCAAAGAAAACTTACCTTTAACCAGCGATTCCACTCCTGGAAGTTCATTCTACAGACATAATTGCGTGAGTATATTATTTAGTGTTTTTTTTTTAAAAACAAGGTAAAGAACATTATGTTTTAGCTTCCTGTCTTTTGCATAAAAACATATGAACAAATATTTGCTTATATATGCATAAAGAAAGTCATTGAAAAAATACATGTATAATAAATAGAAGGTCCTGGCTGAGTAGCTCAGTCAGTTAGAGCGGTGTCCTGATACACCAAGGTTCTGGGTTTAATCCTCAGGGCACATATAAGAATCTGTCAATGAATGCATAAATAAGTGGAACAACAAATCCATGTTTCTCTCTCTTTCTCTTCCCCTCTCTCTAAAATCAATAAATTTTAAAAAATTAAAGAAATAAAAAGTCATTTTTTAGGGACAGATGAGAAGTATGGAAGGGAGACTTTTTATATATGTGTGTAATTTTTAATCATCTAAAACTATTATCTATTCTGTTCCAAAAATATTGATTAAGCTGTAATTTTTTTATTTTATTATTTTTTTGTAATGTCATTGTGAAGTTTTGGTACCAGGGTTAATATTGGTCTAATAAAACTACTTAGGAAATTCCCTCCTCCTCCATTTTCTGAAATAGTTTTGGTAGACTCATAGGTTTTGTTTTTCTTTTAAATGTTTACTAGAATTCACTTGTGAAACCATTTGGGCCCAAGTTTTCTTTGTGGGAAGGTTTTCATAATTAATTCAATTTCTTTAGTAGATAGAGAGCTATGGCAGGCAGATTCTAATGTCTCCTGTCTCAATCAACAATTTATTGCCTCTCAGCTCCCAATTTAGCTTCTTGCTTTGCAATGATGGGCAGAATTCCTTTAAGCCTCTGCGTTTGCCGTGAGCACTGTGATAAGCTTGCAGGGGGCAATGGAGGGGCAGCGGTCGGTGCTATGGCTATATGGTCATCCAGTGGCGATCTTCCCCAGTCACGTGGCTTCAGTACATGCGGTCCCGTGATGGCCTTGCGACCTCAGTCTGGCTCAGCAATCATTTCTCCATGACCCTCTCCACAGGGAAATCGGGGCCCTGAAGGCCTCCTCCTCGCAGCGGCTTCCCATGGCCTCCAGCCCGCTCTGGTACCAGCTCCTTTCACAAGGTCATGTGCAGCTTGCCTGTGGCCCAGAGACTTGCCTTCCGCTGCCAGCTACCAGTTCCAGCCTGGGAAAACCAGCAGACGTCTTGCTGTCCAGTGGGCTGCACTTCAGCTTCTCAGATGACACCAATGAGATCTGAACCCCAGTCTTGGTAAGTGGACTCCTTTCCGACTTGGTCCCTCCTTAGGTTCTCTCCCTAAGCCACTGGGGGTGGGTGCCATATGGAGTTTCTTTTTACCTTATAGTCACTCATTTATTACACTTCAATAATTGATAATTATTAAATTAATCAAATGATATAATGATTCTTTAAACTTTGCCTGTGTGGTTTCTTTCTCGCAACTAGGAGATAAGGACACTAGGTCCAGCCCACACTCAGAGAGATTACACATGGACTTGGGATTTTTATTTATTTATTTTGATTTGTTTGTTTATTTTTTATAATTATTTTTTGTATTTTATTTTTAATTTATTTTTATTTTTTTATTTTTCAAATACATTTGTCTCCATTTTCCTGCCACCACTGTCCCCTGCCCCACCCACCCCCACCTCCCACCCTCCATCCTTCCCCACTTTGGCGTTGTCCATGGGTCCTTTACACATGCTCCTTGACTTGACCCTTCCCCTTCTTCTCCCCTTTACTCCTCTCCCTCCTCCCCTCTCATTACTGTCAGTTTTTTCTTTCAATGTTGCTGGTTATATTTTTCTTGTTTGTTTTTTTTTCATTAGGGATTTGGGATTTTCAAAAGATCCTGAGGTGATTGTAATGTGCAGGTTGGACCACTGCACTATTAAGTTTTCAATTATTAAAAAGCATTGTAGCTCTGCCTGGTGTGGCTCAGTAGATTGAGTGGCACCTGTGAACCAAAGGGTCCCCGGTTCAAGTCCCAGTCAGGGCACATGCCTGGGTTGTGGGTGGGCCAGGTCCCCAGTAGGGGGCATGTGAGAGGCAGCCACATATTGATGTTTCTTTCCTTTTCTCCCTTCCTTCCCCTCTCTCTTAAAAAAAAAGAAAAAGAAAAAGAAATCGTAGTCCTTGCATGATAATTATTCATTCTAGTATTAACTATAAAGGAAATAAAACTTCCTGGAATTTCATTTCCTTCATTAACCTGCCTCTTCTTTGCCAAGATCAACTATCCATGGTTCTTTGGGAGCTATATCAGGCCTTGAGTATGAACTGGACCTAGTGACTAATTTCTAATGAATAATGACAAAATGGATGGGCTGTTGCTTCTTAGATGAGATTAGACAAGATTTTTGACTTCCTTTTACCTTTCACTCTTTTCCTCTTTCTCTCTCTCCAGCCTGCCTTAGTCTTGGGCTCTCCTTGCTTGCTGCTTAGATGAACCAGGCTGCCACACTGATCGTGAGCTGCCCTTCCAAGGGGCTCATGTGGCAACAAAAAGCCGGGGTCTTCATTCCTACACTTCGGGAGGAGCTGGGCCCTGCCAGCGATCAGGGGCGTGCACTTGGAAGCAGACCCTTCCCCAGGTGAGCAGCTGAGGGGACTGCGGTGCCAGCCAACACCCAGACGGCAGCCCGTCCGAGACCCGAAGTGGAGGGCCCATCTGAGTCACTGCAGGTTCCTGACCTGCAGAAAGGGTTAAGCCACTGAGTTTTGGGGCAATTTGTTATGTGATAATAGGTAACCAATACAGGAGTTATTTCAATTGTTTTTTCATCTTTCATCTGCATTTTTAAGGAATTTATCTATTTCTTAGTTAAGTCCTTATAGCCCACATTATTTATTTCCTTCAGAGTAGACAAAAAACACCCGTTTATTTGCTCAAAAATACATCAGAAATAAAAAAAAACAACTTATGTCCACACAAAAAACATGTATACGAATGTTCACAGCAGCTTTATTTTTAATAGCCAAAATTTTGAAACAATCCAAATGTTCTTCAGCGGGCCAATGTTTTTTAAAAAAATACGGCACATCTGTTACTGAGGAGAGGCCCGAATCAGAAGCCCCCCCACTCCCCCCGCCCAGCCTGTTCCTCAGTCCTCGTCTCACTCACAAGAGAAGGAGTCAAGCAAGAGAAACACGTGTAGTGGAAGTAGAAGTGGAGATAGAAGTTAGTTTATGAGACACATGAGCACGGACCTACAGACAGGTGGCCAGCTCGTCTGCACGCCCCATGTATGGAGGAAATGAAGTTGTAACTTTGTTCCATACACTTGAGCCAAGGCTACCAGTGGGTCCTTAGCTATCTAAGTATGCCAGCTCTTGGGGTTCAGGGGTTACATACCTTAGTCAGCTTCTAGGTTCACCTTCCTTATGCCCCTTCCAAACCTTGGGAATAATGTACAGCTACAAAGGTTTTCTTTCTTAGTAAAGGCTTTCTGTCTAGTTAGTGAAGTTGTTCCAAGGCTCCCATTCCCAGCACAGGGTCTCACGGACTCCCTTCCTCCTGGGCTACCCCTGCTTGTGATGCTCAGAACACCTGGCAGTCTCGGTGAGCTTATTGCAGAAGCCTCCCTTTCTCAGCACAGTCTCAAGGACTTCCCTTCTGCTGCGCTATTTTTGCTTGTGATGCTCGGGACACCTGGCAATCATCAAACCAGACTAGGGGTTGCTGGGGTAATGGGTGAGACATGTCTCCCTTTTGCTCCAAGACTTCTGTGTTAAGTGCTTTGTTAGTTTGTAACAGCGGGGGCCCTGCTTTACTTCCCCTCGGGCTGCTCATTCCTAGCTGCGGCCTAACACATCCATAATCATGGTATACTGCTCAAGCAATAAGACGGAACAACTATTAATATATGCAGCAACTTGGATCTCAAGGGAATTATGTTGAGTGAAAAAAAAGCCAATTTCAAAAGGTTACATTCTGTATAGTTTTATTTATATAACATTCTCAAAATGACAAAATTATAGACATGGAGGACCAAAGAGCTGTTTCCAGGGATTAGGGATGGGAGAATGGGGCGGGTGGGGGGGATGGATGTAAATATAAAGGGGTAGCACAAGGGTCATTGAAGTGATGGAACAGTTGTTATCTCTTTTTTTCAGTTCTGTTATCTTGATAGTAGTGGTGGTTCCCCAAATGCACCTGTGATAAAATTGTATAGAACTACACACACACACACACACGTGCATACACATGCAAATGAGTACATGTGAAGCCAGTGAAGTCTGAATAAGGTCTGTAGATTGTTACTAATGTCAATTTTTTGGTTTTGATATTATGTTATAGTTATGTAAGATGCTGCCATTAGGGAAGTCATGTGAAGGCGACATGGGTCCTCACTGTATTGTTGTTGCCATTTCCTGTGAATGAGTAATCATTTCAGAACATACAGTTATTAAATACTTCAGTTGATCTCCTCCCCCCCAGTTACTCTCCATCCAGTTATGAGGTTGACTTTTGAATAAAGACCTGAAGAGAGTGAGAGATCTAGTCATGAAGATATCCGAAGGGGATGGGAGAAGCTTTCTATACTGTTTTTTTCTTTTTTAAGATTTTATATATTTATTTTTAGAGAGAGGGGAAGGGAAGGAGAGAGGGAGAGAAACATCAGTGTGCGGTTGCCTCTTGTGCTCTCCCTACTGGAGACCTGGCCACAACCCAGGCATGTGCCCTGACTGGGAATTGAACCAGCGACCCTTTGGTTTGCAGGCCTGTGCTCAATCCACTGAGCTACACTAGCCAGGGTAAAGCCTTCTATCCTTAAAGGACATAAGTGTAAAAGCCCTATGATGGGAACATGCCCATTGTGGTGAACACCAAGGCAGTGTGGCTGGAGCACAGTGAGCAAAGTATCAAGGCAAAGACTAGCTTTCACTCTGAGTGATGTGAGAAGCATTTGGAAGTTTGAAGCACACGAGTGAAGTGATCACTGAACATTTTGATGGGATCACTGCAGCTGCTGTGGGGAGACTAAGCTGAAGGGCAGAAGCAAGCCCTGGCTGGTGTGGCTCAGTGATTGAGCGCTGGTTTGCAAACAAAAGGTTCGCCAGTTTGATTCCCAGTCAGGGCACATGCCTGCGTTGCAGCCTTTGGCAGAGGGTGCTTGAGAGGCAACCACACATTGAAGGGCAGAAGCAGGGGGAACGAACAGGAGGCTATCACAACTCGAGTGAGAGAACTGTGACTTGAACCTAGGTGATGAGAAGTGGTCAAATTCTGAATGTTTTTGGAAGGATTTGCTGCTGGAATAGGTGTGAGAGCAAGCAGTCAAATGGGTAGCAACTGAAAAAGGGAAGACAGAGGTGTAGTTTGGGGGGTGGAGGCATCCCAGGAACTCAAATTTGGACTTGTTAAGTTAGAGATGTTTATTAGAGATCACAAAGATGTTCAGTAGACCGCCCTATCGAAAACAGTCACAGTGCTGAGAATTACTACTCCCACCTTACGAAATCTCATCATCTGGTTGCATTATATTCATTCTGGTTGTGTTACTCCTCCTTATCTAAATATACCTTTTACTTATGTCTTGTCTGTCCCTCCAAGTTTCATGAAGTTAGGGGGCTAGTTCACTCCTGTATCCTGTTGTCTAGTACATAGATTCTTAAAAAATATTTGTTGAGTCTCTGAGAACTTACATAGACCTGAAAACATTTGATGGTGGATATGTTTAACGCACCTGGGCAAAGACAGGCCGCAAACCCTTTCCCACTCATGCTGGCAGTAGTTCCCAAACTTTGCTGCACACTGGAAGCACCTAGGGGCCCCACCCCTAGAGACTGTGATTTAATCAGTCCAGGGTGCTATCTGGACTTCGGGATTTTTAAAAGATCCTGAGTTACCTCTGGGCAGGTGACTAAGTTGGTTGGAACATCATTCCATGCACAAGAGGGCTGTGGTTCAAGGCCTTGTCAGGGCTCATACCTAGGTTGTGAGTTCAGTCCCCAGTAAGGGCGCATATGGGAGGCAACCAATTGATGTTTCTCTCTCACAGCAATCTTTTTTTCCTCTCTCCCCCGCTTCTGCTCTCTCTAAAATCAATAAACAGCTTTGGGCAGTGTGGCTCAGTTGGTTGGAGTGTCGTTCCGTAACCAAAAGGTTGCAGGTTCGATTCCTGGTCAGGGCGCATGCCTGGGTTGTGGTTTTGATCCTCCATCCCTGATCCCGACCAGGTGCACACATTCCCCGCGTGATCCTGTCTGGGCAGTACGGGAGGCAACCAGTCGATGGTTCTCTCCCTTGCTCTCTCTCTAAAAGCAATGGAAAATATGTCCTCAGGAGAGGATAAGAATTTTTCTAATAAAATAAAATCAATAAACACATCCTCGGGTGAGGATTTAGAAGATCCCGAGGTGATTGGAATGTGCAGGTTGGACCACTGCACTATGGAGTTTTCAATTTTTAAAAAATAAAATAAACTGTAATCTGTGCATAATTACTACAGTATTAACTATGAAGGAAATAACACCTTCCTGGGATTTCATTTCCTTCATTAAGTTTCCTGTCCTTTGCTTGGATCAACGATATCCATGGCTCTTCCTCCTCATCCTGATCCCAGAGGTCAGTCAAGAATTAAATATTTCACAAATTAAGATTACGTTTCACAAATACCAGTCTGTTCTCAGCCATGAGGTCTGGGATTCTCAGCCAAATTTAACCCACCATAACATGTTGCTGTCTAATACACTCTCTGCAACAATTCGCATCAGTCGCGCTCCCCCGTGTTTCAGAGCTGTGCCTTTTCCTCCCTCTTCGCTTTGGCCATGCTCTCCACCTCTTACCTGCGTGGGCCTCGCCTCCCTGCTGACCCGTCTCCGGCTTCAGCTTGTACTACTGCCACAGTGATCTTCCTAAAACCCTAAAGTTAGGTGTTTAGACCACCTGACTTCCAAGACTCACTAACAGTGTCTTTCGTATGATACTCAATCCCCTTTATAGAGGTCCCTACCTACCTCATCTAGCTGTGTGACCTGGGGAAAAGTCCCTGGGACTATGCCTGGGTTTCCTCATCTGTAAAATGGTGGCAATAATGGTCCTAGATTGTAATGCACCTACGGTACCTAGAGCTGTCTCTGCAACACGTTAAGTGCTCTAGGAAGTTAGGTAAGCCATTGCTTAAATGTTCCTTCCACGGGAACATGTATGGCTAAAACAGGTCCCAACCACCGCCGCCACCACCACCACCCCCCCTTTTGGAAGGTAGAGCAATTCCACTACTTTTCTCATTTTGAGGTTGTGGGCAAGTCAACATCTCAAGTATAAGAGAAGGATCGTAATAGCTACTGTGAAGGGCTGTTTTCTCCCCCTTATCGCTGCTTGGTGAAATGTTACTCAGCCTACCGAGTCTAGCACAAGGTTATTTTTCAAAGCACCTCCTCCGGCTCAGCACCACCCCCATCCACCTCATAATTTCCCTTTTGGAGCTTCTGCACACCCTACATTGGAGCACAGTTCTCTGAGCTGGTTATTCAGATTGGCCTTTCCCATTTTCACAGAGCTTCTAGAGAAAAGGCTCGTGTTTCATTAACCTTTAACCTTACTGACAAGCACAGAGAGGGGCTTAAAATACATCAGCTGAGTGAATGAGTAAAATGTTACTCAAGGCCCAGTGAAAATGGTTTCTAGATTCACTCAGGCCATTTTCTAT